ATTATACAATAATAATTATAATAGAAGAGTATAGTAACAGTATAGGACAGTATAGTAATAATAGCACATATAATATATAGTTATATAATAATTATAATAGAGCAGTATAGTAATAATGGTAATAGTACATATAATATATGATTTGGTTGATGAGATCAATTTTCCCTTTCAAATAGTTTAGAATTATAACAATTTAAACCAAGGGGCGACAGTAGCTCAGTTGGTAGAGCATTGGCCTTCAGGCCTGAAGGTCGTGGGTTCAATTCCCACCTCTACACCTTCTCCACCGACTCCCACTGATGACTGCTGTCGTTGTGTCCTTGGGCAAGACACTTAACCCCACTTTGCCCAAAGCCCCCACTGAAAGATCAAGGCTATGCTCACACTCAGAGAGCAGCCGTCCTCCTGTGGACTCACCACCTGCAGAGGGTCAGTGAGGGGCTGGTGCTATGAGACTTGGGTGGCATCTCTGACTGCCACCCCCCTGACCCAGAAATGGATTAAAGGGTAGAAAATGGATGGATGGACAATTTAAACCCCCATTCTCACATTCCTGTATGATGAAAATACCATTTTTTTATATGCTGATTTGAACAGATGGATAGTTGGACATTGCTTGAGTTCGACACACAATTTGTTCCAAAGTTTCACTCCACACACAGACACACACAATATACAAGAGTCCTTTAAAGTCTTTAAACAAATTAGATTCTGGGTCCACATCTTTATCAAAATCATATATGCCAGGTTCTGTGAAATCAAAATTTGAAAAAGATTCACTCACCAATGAATCAGTCATTTGTAGTGTAGTTTATAATCCATTGACTGTCTTGCTCTTTATTCTTTGCCCAAAGGAACACATTTCTTGTTCATTTGTACTGGTCCAGTTCTTGCAGTTTCCTGACCACAGTCACTTTAGCATGTTCAGGTGGACCATTGAGTCGAATGAATACCTTTCCATTTCTCGTCCAGGTGGCTTGAATTTTATTTTGCTTCTTCAGCATTCGGCTTGTCCAGGCTATTTCTGCATTTCTTTTGGTCAAGTGCTCATTTATGTAAATTCCACTGCCTTTAAGTTTCTTTGCTTCCTTTAGAATGTCCACCTTGTGCTTCCGGTTCACAAATCTGACAATGATTGCAGGCTTTTTCTTTTTATCCTTGTTTGGAAGAGTGTGACATACTGAGATGTGTTGACTCTCCAAGTTAATATCTTTGTTTCGCATGAATGTAATCACCTGCTGTTCCAAGGTTTGCAGCTCCTCAGAAGGTGCATCTTCATGCTGTTGGTGACCAGTTGGACCTGCAGCCCGGGCATAGGTCTTATGCCTGGTCTCAAGCCCAGTGATCACAAGGTCTTCTGCTCTGGAGTACTGCTCCAAATCATCCACCCTCTGCTCCAGGAACTCAATCCTTTGTTCTTTCCGTTTGATGATAGACTTTAGCTCCCAAATCTCTTCCATGAGGCCGGACAATTCTTTCTGTTGTTTAGCCACTTCACTGATATCCCTTGACATGAAGTTTAGGGACTCTTTAATCTCTGCCATTTCACTGGCAAGTAGTTTGGCAGAGGACATGTTGATCCAGTTGTTTGATAATGATGAAATGTCACTCAAATGTCATATAAAACATGAACTGTGTGTGACAAGCAGGAGATAAGTAAATGTGACGCCAAATGACTCAATTCAAGAGAACTTTACGGCGGACTTTTCCATGTTAGATCTGCCACAGACACTCGCGGAGCCGCACACGGAGCACCGGTGTTTAATACAGCGTTAGCAGCAGAACTGTTCACATCGAGTTTATGGGAAAAGATGAGATAGAAAATGAATTAAAGCCGCAAGCGGCGTCGAACGGCCCTCGCCGCACCGCGCGACTCCCCGCACTGCGCGCACCCCCCGCACCACCCCGTGCCAAGCCACCCCGCACCACGCCACCCTGCACCACGCTGTCCCGCATCACGCCGCCCCGCACCAAGCCGCCCCGCATCAAGCCGCCCCGCATCAAGCCGCCCCGCACCAAGCCGCAACGCGCCGCACCACACCGTACCAGCCATAGAAGAAGTTAGTCAAATTGTAATGAATATGATATGTAGAGCTGGTTTGGCTCCCCATGTAAACTTTGAATCAGTCTGTAGGGGGAGCTAATGGGCCAATTTCAAATATTTCACTTTCACCTGACCTAAACCCTGGAGTTGAACAATGGATTCAAGTTTAATGCAAATCAATCTTTGTTTGTGCAAACGGGAAAAAAATTAATGTTGTCAAAAACGGCCAAAAAAACCCTCACATTTTGCCGCTCCGCTGCTCAAGCAACGTTTCACTGATCAAAATTCCCTGAAGTCATTTTGAAGGTAAATGTGTTGAGATGATTTGGAACAATTTTGATGCCAATCGGTGAAACGGCCGAGGAGGAGTCGCTTTCCAACCGACATGTATGAAAATGATTTCGGATTTTCCATTTTGCAGTGAAATTTATGGGCCTCCTGTTTGTCAGAGGGCTTAGCCATGGTAGCGTTTCGGTCGTATCTTGACTTGAGGAACATGTGTACCGAATTTCATGGCTCTACGACAAACTTGACCTCTGAAACTCCCATTGGCTGTTGTAGGTGGCGCTGTTCTGGCATTTTTTGAGTCCCATAAAAATAAACACCCAAATATCAAATTTTTCACCAGGTCTGATGTCATTTTACAACTTTTCATGCATGTTCAGGGGGTGAAATTAAGGCTCAAAGTGCAGAATTTGACATCTCTCGAGCAAAAACAATAGGTCCTTTCCCCGTTCGGGGCTCGGGCCTAATTAAGAGCAACTATATCTTTTTTTCCCATTTATTTCAGGCATTGGCACAGCACAGATAAGTACAAGGTAGAAAAACACAGTCAAGTCATAGAGAGCAAAAGGGCAAAGATAAAGACAAAAAAGGTGATCGTACAGTTCTGCATGACTACATCATTCTGCCCGAGAGGGAGTGGTAAGAAAATAACTTATTAAGTCCCACCCTAACTCCTCAATCTGTGATAATGTGTTTCATCACTTATCAAAAAACTTGAAAAAAGCAAAAGTGCAGCAGATAAGGAATAATATTGTTAGCAAGAAAAATGTCTCCCACATGGCGTGACTAGAACATTCCTTCCATCCATCCATCCATTTTCTACCCTTTAATCCATTTCTGGGTCAGGGGGGTGGCAGTCAGAGATGCCACCCAAGTCTCATAGCACCAGCCCCTCACTGACCCTCTGCAGGTGGTGAGTCCACAGGAGGACGGCTGCTCTGAGTGTGAGCATAGCCTTGATCTTTCAGTGTGTGTATGTGTGTGTGTGTGTGTGTGTGTGTGTGTGTGTGTGTGTGTGTGTGTGTGTCTATGTGCGTGTGCATGTGTGTGTATGTGTATATGTGTGTGTGCGTGTGTGCATACTGACCTATTCCTCTACAAAAAAGCCAGAAGTTGTCATTTTTATGTTCTCAAAAGAATAACTTTCATAATCCTATAAACAAACCCGGTCTGAAGAAGGCAGAACCCCACTGCTTCTTTTACATTTAGTTTTTTATTCGTATACGTAGTTCCCACATGACGTCACTACATACGGGGATTTTCCGACCCGGCGCCATTTGTGTTGGCATTCTGTGGGCAAAACAATAGAAAAAGAAGCTGAAACGTGTTAATGTCGTGATAAAGTTGAAAATGGTCATCTCCTGCTGGGTCAATGGATGTTCAAATCGTGCCGGAGGTTCAGTTAAACTTGGATTTTACAGTATACCCATCATTAGACTTCATGAATGTGAGAAGACTAAGCTTTTGTCAGAACAACCACGGAGGTTATGGCTTGCGAAGATAAACAGGCAAGAAACTCCCTCAAAACACGCAAGAATATGCTCGGAGCACTTTGTGTCAGGTGCGTATCGTATCTTATAATGTGTTGACAGACGTAATTTACTCAGTACTAACTTGTGTATGCTGATATCTGGTAACTTGAGAGTTTCATTTAGATTACTTTATTATGAGGAGGATCGGTGTCGCGTCCGAGGCTCTCGAGGGCAACGTAAATGTATGAAATAGATAATAATAGTTCTATGGTGGGCTAAAAAAATGTTCACAAACAGCATTGCTTCTGTAAAAAGATCTGTGTCATAAAATAAACTGCTCTTTACGCCTGGAAAAATCAGTTGCCCACCATTCACCAAAACATACGGTCAAAAACGCGGAAATAAACAATAACAGCAATCCAGAGTGTCCGTGTGGCATTAGCATTAATTAAATTAATTGTTAATATAATTAAAATAATTAAATGGAGCTCCAACTGGTATTAAATCTAAAGTTTTTGAGAAATGTTTGCATTGCTTGTTAATTTTTGCTGCATAATTTGATCAAATATGTAAAACATGTCCGTAGCACGTTAAACTGTGGTGCCATTGTATTAATATACAATTATTTGCTCAAAAGTTGCCCTTTTTTTCCAATTTGCGTTTGAATATCTACATTTATTCTCATTCTTCTGTTTAATGGAATGCACAAACACAGCAGCGTGCCATCAAAGATGGCGTCTCCGAGGAGGTCATGTGACATTCATTGGTCTGTGGGAACTATGTATAATATGTCTTCGATGTTTAACTTAACCGTAATAATTGCCTCACTGGTAGAAACATTTTAAAGAAAAACGTATTTTTTATTATTCATAAAATAAATATGTATGTAGACTGTATAGATGTCGATATGAAAAAAAAAAAAAAAATCTAAACAAAGCAACGCGAAGGCATTCTTTGAAGGCGGGACCTATTTGTTTAAGTCACCCAATAGGAGCGGTTGGAGAGGCAGACATCTTGCTGCTGATTGGTCCAAGTCTTTGTCCTTCATACTTTACTCTATAATAACAATTCCTCATACCCGGGCAGATTTACCCATCCTGCCGGTGCCACCGGTTGCGCTGTTGGTCAGATAAGGACTCAATACACAATTAATATCACCCCAGGCCTGCTTACTTTCATCTGGACAAGTGTGTGCGGAAATGCAGGCTATCAGGTGAGCTAATACAGGCTATGCTAATCTGGAGGCATGTTAAACTAGTCAAACAACTCGCCCTTCTGTTGGTATTTTGTTACTATAACGCTAGCTAGCTAAATAACCTGGACATAGTTCCTCACAGACTTTAGACAAACCTGTATTGTTATCTAACTTTCATAGTGTACTTTTATAATAACTTAAAGTATTAGTATTTCGTGTGTTTCATGTGGCCGCTGGCGTGACTGGTTCTTGGGCAGAAAAAGCAGATGTTGTGACACCACGTTGGTTGAGTAACTTGTGTGTCTCTTTCAGAAACCTCTTCCGTGCTTCCTGGTCCTCTCCTCAGAGGCTGGATGAAAAGACTGTGCTCATCACTGGAGCCAACACTGGCATTGGGAAAGAGACGGCGATTGACCTGGCAAAGAGAGGTGAATATGGACATCAGCATTACTGTAACTGTGCCAGGATTGTTTACTTGTCCCAAATATTAGACAAGGCAAGTTTATAGTTCATACACCAGGCAACTCAAAGTGTTTAACAAAACAAAAAGAAAAACATTAAAATCATGAATAATCACATGTATAGTCCTGACTCTGGGACCAGCAGGAGGCCGGTCCCTGTCCTCCTCAGAGTCCCAGTCTATTCTAATCAGAGGCCTGTGAACTGGACTTCGTACTTCCTGGGTCAGGATTCAAGCTGCAGTGTTACAACATAAAATAACATACATGTTAACTAGTTAGGTATAATATTAAACATTTTCAAATGGAGCTAAATAGAACATATATAGACATGAACACAATGGCACAAAGTCAAGTCGAATTTTGAATCTAAACTTATGTTTTGAACCTGTTCATAATTTCTAAATCTAGTTCAAAGGACAAAGCTTGTTGCACTTCTCCTTTTGTAATGATGCTTTTTCTGCTTTTCATCTCTAAGAATAATTGTAATGCTTTGCTTTGCCAAATGAGGGCGCTGTTTTAACATTCACAGTGCACCATGACCCTCGAACTGATGTGTTACTGATTAATCTAATTATTGTTTTGAGAGTTAGAACAGGCGTGGGACTGTGTTTGTGGGTGTAGTGTTAGTGCCATATGAACCAACTCGGAATCTGAGGAGCACAGGGACTGGCCACACTCTACACTTCTAGCCCTGTGTAAACATTTCTGGAATCATAAACATGGGACTAAGACAGCAATGATTCAAATCTCAAAGACCTAAACGATATCCCAATTTAAAAACAAGTATATTATTATTGCATTTTTTGGTTGTGTGTGTTTTCAGGCGCCAGGATCATCATGGCGTGCCGAGACATTGAGAGAGGTCAAGCCGCTCTCAAAGAAGTCATAGAAGCCTCGGCCAATCCAAACGTGGCGTGTATGAAGCTGGACTTGTCAGACACCAACTCCATCAGAGAGTTTGCAGACAGTTTTAACAAAGGTACGTGTCCCTCGTCTCTTTGTTTCCATGGATACAGCTGTTATTGTACACGTTATGGTTTCTGTTTGTGTAGGAGAGGAGAAACTCAACATCCTCATCAATAACGCCGGAGTGATGGTGTGTCCGTACGGGAAGACTGCAGATGGGTTTGAGATGCAGATCGGTG